ACTAGGATTCAATTAAGACTTTATACCTTTAAAAATCATATACGGAGGGAGGGCCCACCCGGAAGCATTCGTACACTCGATCGCCGTCACCCACTCGCGATTTCTAGGTTATAAAAGTGCTCGCGTTGACTCCTCGTTATAGTCTTTATAGTTGCCGTTAACCCTATCGCGAAACCGGTCTTATTAAAGTTATAAACGTTATCGGGGTCGATCCTAAATTAAAAGATAGTTTTTCTTAACCAGATTAAAGCACTCCGTAATAACTTTCGGATCCTCGCATTTTACACGATCGTAATTATACCGTTTCGACAATCGAGAGGAGAGGAGAGGATGCCGTCTAATAAAATTATAAACCTATTTTTCGCCGACAGAAAGAGCCGGGGTAGTTCCGCGCTTTCGGGGAGAAGATTCGCCATCTCTCGTACCGTAGAGGGCCGGGGAGCTGATCCGCGAGGATCTATAGAGAGTATCCATTTTTGAAGAGGAATGAAGAGATTCCTCTTCGATTTCTGTCAATTTATGCGAATTTGCGCGAGAAATCGCGCGGTCTTGAACCCCGCTTAGGGTTGTACGTCGCATATCGAAAGTGCGGGCAGCGAGAGAGAGAGAGGGCTGATTTCTCTAGGTGAACAGGTATTATTGTTACGGTTGCTGCATCAATTCAGTGTTTAGTACATAGACAGCTCTCGGGTCTGGACAAGCAGGATGGAGTGCTCGAGAGTTTTGATACGCTATGATTATCTAAAACTGAAGGTGCTATGCATGCTAAATAAGAATGTATGAATGTAGTCGTCATTTCATGAAAAACAAGCAGGGCTGCTCGGTTCTTACTTTCGGCGGAAACGCCCTCTACCCCGTGAGGAACCTCTGTTAATGCTGATTGATCGATAGTTTGCATGAGCTTGGGGATTGACCTTCCGGACACGAGGTTTCTTTGCTTCAGCAGTCTCGGAGGGCTTCTTCAGAGGTTTGCCCATGGGTTCTTGTTCCTGTGGCTTCGCAGCAGAGGACGAAACAGCTTCCTTGATTCTCTCCGAGAAAGTCTTCGGTCTGGCAACAGGTTTTGGTTGTTCTCCAAATTCGGGATCATCGTCGGAGTCCGGATCAGACTCGGCCTCGGTATCAAGCTCGGGCTCTGACATGGTGTGAAGGGAAGCGGCCTCGTCCGCCCGCTCAATGTCACTTGGGACATCATCCCAGCCGTCATTAGCAGCAGGTGGCTGTTGCGTCTCCAGAACTGCTGTAACATCATCCTCATGTTCCAAGTCCTCATTCGTCGCAGGAGCCGGGTTTGATCTGGGCTTCGGCTGATGAATAACCGGCCTCATAATCACTCTTCGTGTGGTCCGCTTCTGGCCCTTCTTCTTGTATTTCCGGTTCACATCTAGCCCTTGGCTATCCTCAACTTGGATCTTGGCAGCCTCTTCCGCTTCTGCCTCTTCCTCCATCTCGCGCATCACCTCCCAGTCTTCGTCCATACGATCTTCCTCCATGTCCCGTAGTCCTTGAACCAAATGCGTTAGCCCCTTGCTGGCAAATCTTTGCGGCTTGCGCGAAACAATAGGACTGAGTCCTGGACCATCCTGCTTTTCGCTAGGTGGAGGATATCGACCAGAGTTCGAGCGACGGAGGAAAGATGGTGTCCCAGACTGCGCTTCTTGGGGTGATATTTCAGGCGCCGGGTTTAGCGAATTTGTCTTCTGTGCATCTGTGTTATCATCCGCTTCCACCATAGCGGCATAACGCATCGTGGTCGGTGTTGCAAATAGGTTTGCAAGATAGAACTGCTTGGTCTCAGAGGCAGGGGTTCGCGCAAGCCTGGGCGTCTCCTGCTGAGCCTCTACTTCCGGGGCCTCGGGGATCGTATCCACGGGCCTTCGTTTAGAGGGTGTTCGGAACGCGGCAGCTAGGTTATCCGTTTGCCTTGAGGCGGATGGTGTTCCACCACTCCCACCAGATTCAGATAGCATGTCGAACAGGCCCAATGTCCTTCCATCACGCTGAGGCGTAGGCCCAATTGCAGCCTTCAATGGTGACGGTGCTGGTAATCCTTGCCGATGTGTACTGGGACTAAATAGTCTCCGAAGCGTCGACGGCGAGTCATACGGATCGAGTTGTGCAGGGTGGTGCTTGGTGCGATTGTTGGATGGAGTCGCAAAGAGTCCCCTAGACGATTTGCGGGGTGTAACTTGAACATATGCACTATCCTGACCAGGGGGGGATGCATGTTTCCGCTTTTTCGAGTGACTTCCATATGGCTCCTGTCGACTGTTTTCGCGTCGGCTTAGGGATGCTTCGAGGGCCTTAAGGCGACTGTACTCCTTGTATTTGGCCGCTAGTGCATTGGGTTTGCATTAGTAATTTATATTTTTTTAAATATCATGCAGTCCAGGACCTTGACCTACCGATATCCGCGTCTTTTTTGATATCATCGCGTCCGGCTTTGCGGCCCCCATTGGCCGACGCGAAGGCTTTCTCCCATGTTTTCAATTCTGCGCGAACATTGATAGCTTGAGCGCCAATCTCGGCACTTGAAGTAAGAACGTTGTCGGCCATTGTTGCATTGTATGTATTATGAGCCAATTTGGAAGGAGAGTACTCCGTAGTTCTGGCCGTAAATCGATCGATGCGCGTCGCGCGACGCGAACTAATTACATATGTAAGGAAAATTAGACCAAATTAGTAGGCGGTCTGATGTTGCTTGACCTGGGACAATTTAACCCAGATAGGCAGGCGGTATGTTTATGTAGAAAGTGGGATTGTATTGAACTTTAAAGATAGATCTTCCGCCATTCCGGGAATATGGTCAACTGAAAATATACAGAGAAGATTAGCATGGCCCCTGCACTAAGGATGACATGACTCAATCAAAGAGAAGTACCTAACGCACCTTTTTCCCTCCTTCCACGTCCTTAATTAAGGGGAGAGGGTGTAGGTCTTTCTAGTACTATCTAATTGGTCCTACGGCACTGGGAGGGTCACGCGAGAGGCCCACATCCGAGACCCATTCGAACCACGGTTCTGGCGTCCACGTTTCCTGCCAGTCCTTGTTGTACATTGTAACGACAGCAGCTCTTGTGAATTATTACGGTTATACTATCGTCCGAATCTTTGCCATCGATTTATTGATCCCAATTGTAGCTCACGTACTAGCTCGAATTTCAAGTTGCGCAGTGCCAAATACCTCTTCCAAGGTACCGCCTGCAAACATCTTCGGTTGGCCAAACCCCAATTACAACAAGCAGAATCACTCCAAAGACTACAATTCTATTGTGATGGAGTCCAAGGAAAAAGGGCCAGCTCATCATTGCTGGGTTCACCGGCCATGGAATGGCACAGACATGATTTTCTAGTAAGGTTATTGCACCCATGGCCTAAGAGGGGAACCCGTTCGCTGAATCTGGGATCCCAAATATCTTACTATATACTTAGCTTCGCCTTGAGAAAGACAGGAATAGCATACATGAGACGGTGAGAGAAGTTGACAAGCCTAGCGCACAATTGTAATGTCGCATGATGAAATCAGCAGTCACTTTTTTCTTCTTATCCCGTGGAATGGAATGGCCATATGTAAACATAGATATAGCGGTAACGTATCTCAAAATAAATGTACTTTGTATTCAGAAATCCCTACATAGTCAGCAAGTTCCCGAACATTGACAGGAAGCTCGAATTGGCAACTATTTTGGTCGAAGGCTTGCGCAAAACACAAATACAATGCGGCTAAGAAAATCCCCCGTTGCGCCCACGGGCCTTTCCAAGGTTCCTCTTGTTCCTGTGCGACTGAGAATTCAGGGGAACCTTGGAAATAATATGATGCACCTGTGGACGTGCCTTCCACGTGGTGTACGCACATGACGTAATCATGTCTCCCCGCAGTCCTTATCATAGTTTCGCGTCTCCGCTTCCTCCCTTATCTTGGCCAAGGCCTTCCCACCTGGGCAGGCTACCAACAGGAATTTACTCTCATTTCCTCAACTTCCTTCATATTGTACCGAAATGACAACTGCACAGTCATGCCCCCCAAACGTGAGCGTACGGTTCAAGGCTCGTGTTGGCCCTGCAAACAACGCCGGGTGAAATGCGATCTTGGGAAGCCTTTATGCCAGAAATGTGTTTCATCTGGGGCAAAATGCTGTTATGACAAGCTTCTGATCAGGTGGAAAAAGACACCACCAACGACACAGAGCTTGACCATGTGTCAGTCCCCATTTATGAGCCTCAATATACACTTAAAAGACAATACCTTGGCCGTTGGAGATCTAAAGGCCCTCGAATACTTTCAGTTCGCTGTATGGCCTCTTTTCACCACTGCGGCCCATCCTTGCCCACCACCGATACCTCTAGCCATGGAATGTCAACCGGTACTTCTGACTGTGTGTGAACTGGCCGAGGCGCATCGTACACTGCGCGACGAGACTGGGAGTAGCACGGTGAACGCACCGTTTGATAAAAGAATGAGCTGTCTGGCTTCAGTCAGGGAGCAGCTTCGAAATAATTCCAATCATACCTCACTTTCCCCTCTGTTGGTCGCAGTCTTTCTGCTCTATTTTCTAGATGGCTTTATTGAATGTGATCATCAATCTGCGTCGACGGCGAGTCACCACGTGGGCGTCCAAGCAATCGTTGACCATCTTGGAGGATTCTCAGCTCTTATCAAAATAGGCCAAAAGGACATCACTATGCTACTATCAGAATTCGCATCCACAGACCTGACAAAGGCTCTGTTGGACGACCGGGCTCCTTGCTTTCCCGCTGAAATCTGGACACAGATAGAGCACGGGACAGTATGGTGGGACCAAGAAACATACGACGGGACGACACTGGCGTCAGTGTTTAGAATAATGGCAGAAATGTCTTTATATCGCCAACAAATCAGAGGAGACCCGGAGACACTTTCTATGGAAATGGTGCGAGATTTTGAGCGGTGTCTACAGCCATCATATCAGATTCTCAACTGCGACCATCTCAAAAGCCCAAACACCTACACTGTGCATGAATCGACGCTTGAATCAAGGATGCAGGCCGATTCCTTCACGCGTACTTTCCAACATAGTGCCCTCGTCTATCTCTACCGAGCAATCTGTGGTCTTCCACCGAGACATTATTTGGTACAACAGCATGTCCAGTCATGTGTGGAGTGCATCAGAAATATATCGCCTGTTTCTAAGGCTCATAACTGTATAATATTTCCATTGTACATCATGGGCGCTCACACGTTCCTACAAGATCAGCAGGCCTTTGTCTTGGATAGACTTGATTCTATATACAAATATCTGCGCTTCAACTGCGTGCTGTTAGTTCGCGCAGCGTTGAAGGATTTATGGAAGTCACCGCGGCATGATGGTGATTGGTGGGGGATGTTTAGATCTCTAGGCGAACATGTTCTTGTGATCTAACTATTAATTCCCAATTACCAACTCGTCAACCCCTTCACCCGATCAAACCCACCCCTCAACTGTGACTCAGGATGCACAACCTTCCCCTGCAGAACAGTGTACTTAACAATGCCCTCACAATGCTCGGGCCGTACACGCGCAAGCCAAATCATCTGCTGATCCTTCTTGCGATAGACTAAAACATTCGCAGAGAACTTGTGCCCGCCGACATGCGACACGAAGAAGATACCCGCCCCGCCAGCCCGGGAGTCATCCGCATCCCGGTCCAGTCCCAGCGGACGGAGATGTCGCTCCAGCTCGCGCTTAATCAATGGCGCTGTAATACCACATCGCGCGTCTCGGCGTCCGTGCGAGCACAGCAGTATCACGTAATCAAGTTCACAAGGTCGAGCGGTCATCCCGTTCGCGGGAGAGATGGTCTCGTTTCCATTTTGCTGGTTGGTGGGGTGGTCGATGAATATGTCTATCAGGTTTGGAACGTCTGCTTGCGTGACGGAATCGACGTATGTGAACGATGGTAGAATTAGTACTGTGGTGGCTTGGTTGGAAGTGTCGTCTGTGGTTGGTTTCTCTGGAGGCGCGAGATTTGATGCTGAGACCTTGATAGCCTGGATCTGGTGTTAGTGGAGGTAGGCTAGATGAGAATTTTGGAGCTTACACCATGATCCGGTTTTGCTTCCTCGAATGCTTCCATCAAACTTCCTGTCACCTTTTCGACATGCTTTTCCTTCCAGTCGGATTGGCCCGTTGCCACGAGAACGTGGGCGTGAAATTCTTTGATATGACCATAAAGAGGTCTGGACGTCTCAACTTTGACTTTTGAAGGAAATTTCACTGTGCAGTCGGCGCAGTCCTTTAAGCATTCGGGGCCGTCCTGTTTGGGATCCACTTTGGGAAAGAGGTAGTCGTTGGTGCCTGTGCGGCCCAAGGAAAGCAAGGAACGCAGCATGGTCGAAGTTGTGATTAAGCTGTGATGGCAGAGTTGAAAGTTGAAAGTTGATTCCAGAGGCAGTGTTGCAGTTTTGAAGTTTTGAAGGTTGGGAGATCTGGAGATCTGCAGACACCTAGGTAGATATATAGTCCAGTATCTCCGAGATATGCGCCGAGCCGAGTCGAAAGCCCGAAACCCGAACAGGGTTATCTCCAGACTCGGATGTTTAGTGGAGATGATTCCTTTGAGACCCCGTTTTGTCTTACTAGTCTTTCAAGTAACGCGGAAACTTACGGCCACTTAGCGTCCATGTATTTGATCTACATCTACCAGGTGGAACCCACCTTGGAAGCTTGGGATTCGCTCACCCATGAGATCTGCAGCTTAAACTTATCAGATCACTCAACCTAATTCTAGCCACGGCATCGGAAAATAAAATATACTGAACTGTCTGTAAGACTGCGAAATGAAAAAAGGTATGAACACCGCCACACTTTGCCTTTTGTGTACTGCGTCGAAAACTTTCTTCGAAGCAGAGTGAAATAGAAGGACATTGGCTACTGAAATAGGCAGCACTGGTGTAACGGACTATGAAACCCAATCAAAGACGGGCGTCGGGTGTTTCCAGGAAGGCTCATATAGTCCACTTTGTGAGTAACAATCAGATGAAACAGACATCTGTGCACAGTGTACTGCATGATTACTCGTACGAATATGGCGAGCGAACGAATGGAATTCGGTCCCTGGATGTGTAGAACAGATAGGGGCAGATCATAGCTATTCTCGTGGTTCGAAACCAGACCAACATCGGTATTACCGCGTGTCGTTGTTGCCCAGAGATTGCCAACGGATGCAGTTGCCCAATTCTCAACGCTTGAGTAATTTCCGGTAGGCCTTGAAAGATTTTCAATCCCGAGGTATGCAAGACGGGAAAATATAACTAACTATGTACCCGTGGACCCATCTCGATGCACTAGAGTCAAGTAAGCGCATGCCGAGCCCCTTAACAGGGGTCCAGCGTCTCACGGAACCACGGGGACTGGGCTTGTGTGGGCCTGGGAAAATAGACCCGAAAGATAATATGCAGGATGTCCTCAAGAAACAAGAAAAGAAGAGCAATCTGCTATTCTTTTCATTCGAGTGACGAAGAGAAGGAAAAATAAATACGAAAAAAAAAAGCGACGTCGGACAGACTTTCCGCATTGGCCACGCAGAGCGGGACCACGTAAGCCGGAGGAGCCAATTCCCAACCTTCCACATCTCGGACGTAAGATCTTTCCTATAACCCGAGCTTGTCTCCAACACCGAGTGCATGGATGTCCAAGGGACTATTCAGCCCGAGCGCGTGCGCAAGCGTCGCCGCCGCACAATGGCGTGCACGCAATGTCGCACGCGCAAGTTGCGATGTGATCGCGAGTATCCCACTTGCAGTCGCTGTTTAAAGAGCAGAACTCCGAGCAAATGCACATATGAGGATGGCTTTTTATGGCAGCAGCCCACCGTTGTTCCGACTACTACATTCGCCTCCGACCGAGGGTCTGCGGTATCTATGTCTAGAGATACCCCAATAGAGACGCCTCCGGAATCGAGGATAGCTCCTGTGTCAACTCGGTCGGAAGCTTTCCCAACTAGTGATCCACCTCGCCTGGCTATGGCCGGCGGTCCAATGCATCACAATTATCATGGTCTTACGGGTCATGCTCTTGCACCGCCCTACAGAAGTCGACCACACGACAAAGAGCGAAAAGACTGCTTTTTGGAAACTGTTCTCGGGGCTCCTAAAGCTGCTGTCAATCAGGAGCCTTACGTGAACGTGGGTGTTTTACAGCGTCCCAAGCGCCCGGCGCCGGCTCCAGAGCAAGACATGCAAGCACCGTCGCAGGTCGACGATGCGCACATTGATGAAGAAGAAGACCCGTTGTTACCTACGGACCAGCTTGATCTCGCTCCTCGCATGATGATGAGGGGCCGTGAAACTCAAACGCGGTTTAGCGGATCGGGCATATTTGCCAGTTTAGTAGCACAGGTCTGCCCCGCCCTTTAGATTCCAATTGCGAACAATGGCAATGAAAATGCGGACGCTGACATATTCGTAGTTTCCGGATATAAAATCTTTTGCGGAAGAGATCAAACTTGCTACGCCAATCTTCGCGCGACTTCAGCCGGACCTGAGAAGGGTTAAGCGCGGGCTATTAAAACATATGGTGCTTAGCAGGCCCTTCCCCGACCCTACGACGGCTTCCCTAATTGACATGCTACCCTCGCGCGGTGTAGTTGATGAGCTTGTCGGTTTGTATATCGCTTATATCGAGTGCACTCACCGCATTCTTCATGTTCCATCCTTCTTACGGGAGCTCGACCAACTCTGGGCCATACGAGACAGCCCGGCCTCAATATCTGCTGGCTTTACAGTTCAGGTACTGCTGGTGCTTGCCTGCGCATGGAACCTTGCAGATTTTGCTAGTCTGCAGTCAAAAAGTGCGGGCGAACTCAAGTGCCAGTCTGCAGTAGAGTGGACGCTGCACGCAGGCAAATGGATCGAGAATCTTCACACTAAGCGTCCGGAGATCACATCAATGCGACTCTCTATTCTGTTGATTTTGGCGCGCAATGCCCACGGAATGAAACGTAGCCAGGCTTGGCTCACAACAAGTACATTGGTCAAGCAAGCAATGATGGCAGGGTACCATCGCGACCCCAGCCAGTACGCACGGATCTCTGTATTCAACAAAGAAATGCGACGGCGACTGTGGACGACTATTGTGGAACTGGACCTACAAATCGCTCTTGACCGGGGAATGCCACCGTCCGTACAAAGCTTCGATTATGATGCGGCTCCAGGGCTGAACATCTACGACGACGAGATCCACGAGAACAGCACTGAAGTTCCCGAAAGCCGGCCACTGAGTGAAGTTACCGACTCATCGTTCCAGTCTATCCTAAGTCGCTCGCTGCCTCTCCGCCTTCAAGCATGTTCTCTCATGAACTCCCCCCGGATCAGTTGTCGATACGATGATATTCAGCGCCTGGATGGTGAGCTCAACCGACATCTTTCTCGGATTCCTGCGTGGGTGACCGCAGACCCCAGCGACATCGTCACCCAACACAAAGTAATACTGTGGAAAGGGTTGATTGAAACTAAGCTTTGCCAGTCTTTACTGTCTGTCCACACACCTTTCGCCATTGAAGCACGACAAGAATCACTTTTTGCTCCCTCCGCGCGTACTCGCATGGATGTCGCAACCAGAATACTGTCAACCCAGCGCCGGTTACACGAGGTCTCGCGAACGCTATCGCTATGTATGCTTGGTGAATGGACTATCCAAGCCTACATTTCCATCTGTCAAGTGCTACACGCAACCGAATTCGACACCTGTAAGTTTTCCTTACCGGACTATGAGAGCCCAAATTGATAACTTGCAGCTCCCCCCTCATATCCCATCTCATCGACCTTCATTCTCCATAATATACCCGGCGTCCCCGAGTCGCTCATATCGCTCGTAGAAAGAGCCCTGATTGCCTTGGAAGAGCGCTCCCTTTTGATGACCAAAGGAGCAAAAGACTATTATTTCCTCTCAACGATCGTCGCACTAGTCAAAGCCCGACTCTGGCCGGCACAGGCAAGTATGTACAAGCAACAGGTTGTCGAGCGGGTCCTCTCATTTGCGCAGATTCTCTTTTCTCGACACATGAACTGCGATCACCTCGGCGACAAGGGGATGGGCAATTTCAAGAACAACCAGCTAGCTGCATTTATGTCGGCTCCGACAATGGCACCTGTGATGCAGCCCGAATTTGATCACAATGGGATGCGCCCGCCGCCGCAACCTGGCGCGATAGTGAGTTGCACGTTTTCCTTGGTTTTCGCCTTCTCTGCTAACTATGAGTTCCCAGTCGCCTGGCGAATTCGATCCTTTCCTGGAGATCTTCGATTGGGAAGATCTGACAAGCATGACTTTTCCCTCTTGAGTAGAGCGGTCCGACCAGGCTTTGGCTTTTTATACTGACATTGTACGGTATACGCCTTATCTTTCTGCATTTGCTATGCCTCTACCATTGTACATAGTCGAACTTGCCCACTGAATACCCATAGTGAATATAATCTAGTTATCGCAATGGCCTTCATATTTGCGTAATCATAAATGTCGTGACTCGGGTCCACCATGAGATCATGATCGGAGATATCAGGATTGACGGCATGCAAGGGGTGCAAGTCAAAAGAAAAGAACAATGTCGCGCTTGAGCACGGATCGCTATTTGCACCCTTACTCGCAAGTGCTAAGTCTTCCAAGGCTGTATGTAACTATTTTTCTCTAGCTTTGACAGTTGTGCATCGCATCTTCAAAGAGCCTTGCGTTATAGCGGGAGCCTTAATTGATCGTCGTGCTAGCTATGCCAAGGTTGGAACGATATTCAATGATCAACTGGATTTGCTGTCATGTACTCCGTACAATATTTGTAGGTATCGCAGTGCCTTGTGCCTTTGCAACAAAGAAAGACAAGAGATATCAGGAATAAAGCAATAACAAGTAAAAGTGTAACTCACCTTAAAATCAATCAGAGGGGACTCTGATCTGAGACTTGCGGGTCTAGTACCTTATGGTACATCTGGGCACAGCAGAAAATGGCTGTGCAGCTAGGTAACCCGCAGGTACCATTCCAAATATAGATATACGTAGCCGCCTAAACCCCTAAAACACTTGGCTTTCGACATGAGGCTCGCGGGCTGTGCTTGTTTTTCTTTTTCCTTTTTTTTCCCCTTGCCACTTACATGTTTATACCATGTGTTTCTCCCTCGCCTGCTCTCTTCCCCTTTTCACTGCATTGAACACTCTAATATCCATTAAAGAGAGGAGAAGAGCCATGTGTATCACGATCTGATAAATCCCAACCGCCCGGCCAGCCAGGCCAATCCCCCTCATATAATCCACGCATTTAAACCAATGTAACCACCTCGACGATGCATTACCTTCTACTCCTATCAATAATCATCGCGATCGCAGCCCCACTGGCGGGGGCCGTCCCATCCCAAGCCGTGGGACAAAGCGCGAAACAAGTATACCAAACAACAGACAAGTTCCCACTCGCAAACCCAGGCAACATCCCAGCCCACGACCCGAACATTATCCTCCATAACGAGCAGTACTACCTCTTCAAAGGCGGGGTCAACATCCCAATCTTCAAGGCAGCCAACATATCCGGGCCATGGGAAAAGCTCGGCACAGTTCTTGCCGGCGACAGCATAATCCCGAAAAACAACCGGACGCGACCATGGGCGCCAACAACAATCGAAAAAGACGGCACGTTCTACTGCTACTACACAGTGAGCGCGAAAGGGTCCCGCGACAGCGCGATTGGGGTCGCAACGACAAGATCCCTCGACGGCAGTCCCTGGACCGACCACGGTGTCGTTATTAACACGGGCACCGGCGCTGGGTCTGGGGTGTGGCCGTATACGATCACGAATGCCATCGATGGGGCTATCATTGTCGACCGGGATTCTGGACAGGCGTATCTCAACTACGGCAGCTTCTGGCATGATATATGGCAGGTGCCGCTGGCGGATGATTTGCTTTCTGTTAAGGATGCTGAGGCGCCAGATGCGGTGCAGTTGACGTTCATCCCGCGTGCGAAGTCTAAGCCTGAGGAGGGTGTTTGGATGAGTTTTCGAGATGGGTTTTATTATGCTTGGTTTAGTCATGGGAAGTGTTGTAACTTCAAGAATGGGTTCCCTGCGCGTGGGAAGGAGTATAGTATTCGTGTTGGGAGGTCGAAGAGTGTGCGTGGTCCTTTTGAGGACAAGAAGGGGAAATCGTTGCTTGATGGCGGTGGCACGGTGGTTTATGGTTCTAATCATGGGGTTGTGTATGCACCTGGTGGTCTGGGTGTCTTGGCTGGGAATAATGATTCCATGCCGGATATTCTCTACTATCATTATTTGAATACGTCGAGTGGGTTTAAGCATGGGGTGAGTATTTGCTTTTGTCTTTGGTTTTGACTTGGCATTTGAACTGACTGTTCTCGCAGCAAGCTCAACTCGGCTGGAACTATCTGAAATATGAGGATGGTTGGCCGGTGCCTGTTCAAGGCCGAAATGCCACCAATAACGCCTTCGGTCGTGGACCTCCTGGCTGGGGTTATTTAGCAATCCTTCTCCGTAAGAGGAAATTTTCAATGATTATGAGTTCTATGCTGATACCTGGCTATAGTTTTATGGCTGTGCATATGGCCATAGCAGTGGCCCTGTCCTGTTGCTCGCATTAATACCCTCATTTTCATTTCTTTGTCCTTTTCAGCGATTCTGCTCATATATCATGGCGGTGGCGTTCTATTGAATTCCCAGAATTATGACTACCATCGAGCATTTGATTCCATTCCTCGTCATCAATGGATATCTTTGTCATATCAAGCTATGGCGCTAAACCCAACAAATTATGCCCTCACCCTCACACTTGCTACATGCCATTGAAACAAAGTTATTCCCACCCACCATCTACACTAAGAATCTGTCCAGTCGTATACGACGAAGCATCACTGAGCAAGAAAACAACCGTCTGAGCAACCTCCTCTCCCGTCCCAATGCGCGGGATACTAGCCGGCGGCATACTAATCCCGCCCTGGATTTCCTTTGCCATGTCAAGCAAAGGCGTCTGAATAGAACCACTAACACAGCTCAATCAGTCAAGCTCACCATCAAACAACCTAACACAAATACTCACGGCGCAACAGCATTAACCCTAATGTCCGGCCCAACCTCCTTCGAAACCGACTTCGTCAACCCAGAAACAGCATGCTTCGTAGTCGAATAAGCAGCATGCAACGCGAACCCCTTAATCCCTTGAATACTCGACGCATTAACAATACTACCCTTCCCACCAGGCGCAGTCGCCGTAATCGCCCTCAGCTGCGCCCGCAGACAGTACATCAACCCGGTGACATTGACACGCATTAACATGTCCCACTCAGCATCGTCCTGGTCGACGAATTTTCCAGTGCCGTGTTGCTTGCCGATTGTGCCGGCCATGTTAGCCGCGCCGTCCAGTCGGCCGAAGTGCGAGACCGTGTCGGCGATCCAGACTTGTACGGCGCTGGCGTTGCTGATGTCCAGCACGGTTGTTGTGATTGTCGAGGTTGTTGCGGAACCGAATTCGCCTTCGATTGTCTGGCGCGCTGTAGAGAGGACCTTTTCGCTTAGGTCGGCGAGAGAGAGAAGGGCTCCTTGGGAGTGTAGTTGGCGTGCTACGGCGAGTCCGATTCCGCCTAGGCCGGTTACGGCGTACACTCTGCCTTTGACGGAGTCCATTTTTGGTGTGGGTTTGTTGGTTACGGGCTTGATTTGGGGGATGAGGGTTATTATGAATTGGGAGAGTTGCTTTTGTTGGTTGTACATGTGGGATGTGACGGTTACCTTGAATGATGGCGGGGATAACGTGGGGTCGGAGATGCTCCGTGGCCAATTCGTAGACATGTTCGGTTATATTCGAGCTGGATTTCATGGACAATAGGCTAAATAGTGTGTATAAGGGCATTCCACACCCACTGGGATATAGTATATCGCGAACCGTCTGCTGGAACGTCTGAAGAATACCATTAATTCTCCTCACTTGTGGAACTTGCGAATCCAATCGGGTCTCTAGAATCAAATCACCTACTTCATGCGGGCTAGGATATGCAGTTCGGACAGTTCGGTTCATTGCATACTCTGTATGATTCCGTGAAGTTGCATTATAACTTGACACCAATGCATCAGTTGCTTGCAATTGTCAAATTAATTGGAACTTACCAAGGCTTTTTAATGAATTAAATTTTGACTTGTGCCTGAGCCATATTAATCGAATACATCAAAGATGTATATGAGCTTTCCAGCAATACGTACAGCATATGCTCACATGCCAACCAACTCCATAAATCACAAATGGGTATCTCAAAATGCAAAATCAAAATATCCCCCCAGTCCCATCAAATAAATATCCCCGACAAAAGCAATCCCCCAACCATCAAAGACACCCACCCCATCGGACGCCTCACCATCCCAGAATTCTTCTCCGTTTTAGTCCCATACACAACCGTCTGAGCATTCAAGCAGTACATGACTTTCTTCGCCTCAGCCGAAGAAGACGAATCACAGATAGCCGTACAAGGATCCGGATCCTCATAAATCCACACCCCATTCGAACAGCAGGACTGCAAAACAGCCTTCATATCTCTGTTTGGGCTTTTTGTCTGGTACAGCGGGACCTGGTTATAATATTCGATGTTGGAGGGCATGGTGGCAGGCACCGCGTCGCGCGAGTTGTAGCACTCGGCCGGCTGTGTGAAATTGAAGTTGCTTGTTATGGGAGGTGTCATGGTGGTCTTGTGTTTGCCGGGGTGCGGTCTGAATTATTTCGCGCGACGCGAAAGAAGAATTTTGATATTTCGTGATGTGCGGTCGATCGCGGTTCGTGGGGAGAACGATATGGTTCGGTAACGGAGAGGGAAGGGATAGTCGGGAGGTTTTAGAAGGAAGAGAACAGGGGATTTTAAGAGGATCTGTAGGAAGATCATAATATCCCCAGGGCCTCTTTTTCACTCCTGAACTCGGGGGGTAAAGCGCCAAGCCTATTAACTAGTTGACTAGTTGACTATTGGGGATATTGGCCTGAGAAGTGGGGACAGGCCTACCTAGATAAGTATTCAGCGACAGCATTGGACTCAATTCGTCCCTTTTGGCCCCCATTGATTTGATTTAGGAACTGCTAAAATGAGTCAAAAGCCGAAAGTGGGAACTGATAATTCAGTTTCTCCTTGCCTGGCTGTCTATTTGTGATCTATATTGCATGTCTTTCTATCTACGGACTAGTACGCAGCAACTCCTTGATCCCTGCAAATCAATAACCCTTACGGTCTGATTTACAACCGAGCGGTTTGATTGGCTCGCCGCCACATCTTCTTTCTGCGCTCATGCCCTTCGTCGAAATCAGACAGCCATTTCTGCTCGAACCGAGGTAGGCGCCGTCCCGCACCACGAGGTTCCCCCGCAAGTTGCCGGAGGCTCTCGAAGTAGGGCTCAAATTCGGGGTTGAGGACTGTGAAGCCTGGTCCATCGGTCTTCTCTGCAATACGGTCGGTTTCCCATTTTTCCTGCTCGGCGATCGAGGGCAGGTTTGCTTTGCCGGCTAGAACACGTGCGGCAGCGACGGCCTGCCATTCAAAGACTTTGAAGGTCAATCCAGCACCAACCTGATTGTATTTTATTAGCTTTCGATCGGAGGTGTTTCTTTTCCGCTTTGTGGACCTACGGCGCCTACAAAAACCAACGATGGATCATGTCTATAAAAGACATGTTGGTAGAGATCCGGCACACGATTGTTCCGCGTGGCAACCTGAGGCAAGAAAGGCAGAGTCCAGCTAAACCCAGTTCCAAAAACCAAATGGTCGACACCGGTCTCGGAGGTACCATCTTCGAAATGCACGGTCCGTTCGCCTTGATCATTACTCGTAATGTGTGAGATGGGCGGGCGACGCTGGATCTTAGGGTGCTGGAAAGCGAGATCTCCGAAATAGGCGTTGTAACGACCGCGAACCACAGCGACGACTGGTGTCTGGGCAGTATCAACGAGGCTCACTGCAGTATCCGCGGCAGAAACAGACGCTCCGACGGTGATGACTTTCTGCGATGTGTGAGCGGATGGTAGGACCTTGGAATGACATGCTGGAAACTTCATTTACCTTTCCCTTGTATTTCTCAGGCCCCCGGTAATGCTTTGTATGTTGAACACTACCGGGATACCTCGCAGCAAACTCTTTCAAACCGGGAATCGCAGGAATAAACGGCACTGCGTAATGTCCCGAAGCCACCACAACTGCATCATACTCCTCAGACCACCAGTAATCCGACTTGACGCCATCGAGAACTTCCGTCCTGCGGAAGGTAAGCACCCATTTCTGGTTGCTGGAATCTTTGATCGCACGTTCAACAGTAGTGTTGTACTGAACAAGATCCTGGTACCCCTTCCGGTTAAACAGGTCGTCAATATACTTCCTGATAACCGAATGGTGCCTGAAAGGCGTGTCTGCACCATGACGCTCAATCGACCACTGGGATCGAACTACAGGAATCTCTTCTTGAGAGAACGACATGGCTGCCGCGTTCACATTAGTCTCCAGCGTCGGGTACACGGGCGAGTCCATGAATCGGTCCTGGGAGACTACGGGTGTCCGGCACGGGAGGTGCTCGGGAATTTTGAGAGGTGCATCTGCTGTTCGCGCAGATAGACCGTCAAAGTCTAACTGCTGAGGCGGCTCGTCGTCTCTTGATACCCTTTTGTTCGTTAGAGTTGGGAATTGGCGAAAATAGTAGAATAACCTACCAGCATCCGCCGGCTTTCTCTTGTCTTTCAAATACGCGGATGACATCGAATACTTTCTCTTGTGCTAGTGCGTCGACTGCAATGGCGCCCGCTGGGCCCGCCCCGATGATAGCTATGCTCTTGATCTGCGGCATGGTGTGATATTATGGATGTTTGGTGATGGCTTGGGTATGTAGTCGCTCTCAAGTCCGATGCTGTCTCGGCCGAGCAACTCAAAAATGGGAATATCTGGGGTGCAAATGGTTGATTCTATCACGCCATCCGACTCTGTTTTGGCGCAAATTTGGCATTGGCGCCCAATGAGGGCTCCGGGTATAATATATGAGATTGCCCAGGTCAGATTCGGTAAGTAAATGACGCTTTCGTTTTAATACATCAATGTTGAATTGAACATGCCGAGACACTGGAAACTGAAAGTTTCTATCTTCCTCCCCTGTGGCTCATCGGCTCGGCATCGCAGCCGCTGATCTGATTGGCTGTCGGCTTTGGAGTTTTACGGTCACGTGTAGATACCCCGTGGGGCTCTTCAGGAACTGTATTCTGATTGGTTAGAGGTGGATGTCCTGGGATTCAGGCCATAAACTGGACCAACATTGGGGCTTTTTAACGGTTTGTTAAGTATTTTTTTTAGCTAGTTAGTCAGAACTAGTATGGACGGCTGAACTAGTAGGGCAAGTGAAATCAGCTTCGTAGGCAGCATGGTTCGGTGAAAGAATAAGAGATAATGCAATTTGTAAATGGTGAATGATGATAATACAAGCGAAACGAGATCCAAGAAAAAGCCGCCAAACTAAGTAAACACATCGGTAGCATAACGCTCTTTCGTCCGCAAATTATCAAAGAACTGCTCAGCAGCCTGATCCTCCTCAAGGTCAGCACCAGGTGGGGTCTCCCCCTTCTCCCTAAGCTCAGCGTGCACGGCACGACGCTTCTCAAGATACATCTGTTTGCAAGCGTCGCGAATACCAGCACCAACACCAGTACTACCGCAAACATATATATTCGCACCTTCATCAAATAGCTTCACCAGCTCTTCACGGTCATCAAGCATGACATCCTGAACATGCTGTCCCTTGCTTCCATCAGCAGGGCGACTATACGCCCAGCGGACATCGACAGCGCCCAACGCAGCCCACTCCGCAAGTTCAGCAGCGTGGATATCATCCTGGCCCTTTGTGCGGCAGCCAATATACAGCACTGCCTTTGCAGGCTTGAAAGCCTCGTTTTCATGCAGCTCGTCCGAGTCAGGCGAGCTGCGGCGGCCGCGGATCTTCTCCGCGCGGTCCATGACGAATCCGCGGAACGGTGCGAGCCCACTACCTGCGCAGGCCATGATCATCGGTGTTTCGAGGTCCATTGGCGGCTTGAAGCCTGAGTTCGAGGGGCGGACTGTGATGTGTGCGCGTTCGCCGGCATGGAGCTCCGATAGGTAGTTTGATGCAACGCCCAGGTATTGCTCGATGCTTTCGCTGTCTTCTGGGGTCGCACTGGCGAGTGCGGGGGCGCTGAGGACGGTGAAGGTTATCGAGCACTCGGATGGGTCGACCAGTGGTGACGAGGAGATGGAGTATTGTCGCACGCGCATTGGTGGGAGCATTGCGAGGAACTCACCGATTGGTAGCATGATTGATGGATAGCGGGTTAGCAGGTCTAGTGGGCTGACGCGCTTCTTGACGATTTCTTCGGTGAAGCGGCTGGGGCTGGAGGCGAGGTAGCGTAGTTCGGCTTGGACTTCCGCGTCTGAGATTGCAGCGTCGGCCAGGACATTGAGATCGCGCTTCGATGCAGGTTGGGATAGCTCGATGTAGGTGGATAGGAGCTCGAAAGCTGAGATCGGCGTGTCGATGGGGATCGAGGGGGAGGATGTCGAGCCTGAGGGCTTCTGGACTTTGAGCACGGCGTCCCAGGGGAGGTCAAAGCGGCGGATTGCGCGACGGACGACTGAGCTTGGGTTCACGGGTAGCACTGCGAGGTAATCACCGCACTGGTAGGTCATGTCCGACGGCAGCTTGAACTTGACCACACGTTTGGCTGGGGCTCCGGGTGGCGTAAGGAGCTGGTTCTCGATGACGAAACCCTCTTCGAGCTGGAGACCCAGGGTGGATGCGCGCATACCCGAGCTCACTTCCACCTGCAATGAAGACTTCGGCTTGCCAGCGGTTTCAGGGCTAGCTCCACCGAATTTAGCCATCACAGCCGGCCAGAACGAGGTCTCACCCCAGCCATCGAAATCGGTGAACATGTCTGAGTTTGCTGCGTCAGCGAGACCGATATCGCAGAGCTTGTTGGCCCCGTTATCCTTGGCTAGTTGGTCGATGGCCTTAGGGACACGGTAGAAGGTGGACGACCAGTCATGATGGCCACAGCCGAACACAGCGTAGTTGACACCTTCGAATGCGTTATCCTTAAGCTCACTGAGCCATTGGAAGAAGTGAGCGGCGTTATCCGGCGGCTGTCCTTCGTAAGAAGCTGAGATGAAGACCACAGGGTCGTTCTTGGGGATATTCTGCATGGCTGAATCCAAAGAGCTTGTCTGCGCAGCATACCCGTATGCAGTAGCATCATCAGCGAGCCTGCGGGCGAACGCCTCGCAAGTTCCTGTGTTGCTGCCATAGAACACGTGCATTGGCTTCAGCTTGCCATCCACGGCTGCGACCTTGGGCTTGCGATCTCGGCTGGCGGCGCCAGTCTCCGTGGGTGCGGCAAAGCCACTTAGGGTAGTGCTGAGTTGCGTAGGATCCAATCCATCTCTCAGAGTAGCCTTCATGTGGAAGTCCTTGGGCTTGATGGTAAGTGTCTGCTTAAGGCGGAGATCGTAGCTGGGGTTGTCCATCTGGAAGTTGAAGTTCTGCAGCAAAATCGCAACCACAAGGAGAGCCTCCTGCCATGCGAACGGCCGTCCAATACAGCCTCTCATGCCATTTCCAAATGGCTTCCATGCATTCTTGGGCAGCTTCTCGAAGTTTTCATCCAGCATGCGCTCTGGCTTGAACTCGTCGGCGTCGGGGCCGTAGACCTTCGGGTCTCGGTGCATTTTGGTAAGCACGAGCGCAATTGTCTCGTCCTTGTTAAGCACATATTTGCCACCTCCAAGTGTGGGAGGATCCTCCTGGTTCTTAGTGGGGTGGGGGTGCAGGGCAATCATCGGGGCTGTGGGGTTCAGACGCAGCGTCTCACGCATCACAGCGGTGATGTATGGCAGCTTGGACATGTCATCGACGGTGATCTTGCGTTTACCGATCACACGGTCGACTTCCTCCTGAGCCTTTCTGTATGCGCTCGGGCTCTTGAGAAGATGGTAGAACAGGAATGACAACATGCCGGAAGTGGTCTCGTGGCCTATCAAGTTCCAAGTCAGGTCCGAAATGATGCGTCTGCTGCAGGACTGCACTTACCAGCGATGAGGAATGTGATCATGTTGTCTACAATTGAGTCGTCTGTCATACCCCGGCCAGTCTGCGGGTCCCGACCCAGGATAAGCGCATTGAGAAGATCCTTCTTATCAACGGGGTTTTCCTTCCGTGAATCGACTAATTCCTTGGACAGGTTCCGCAGATACTCGATATCACTCCAGTACTTGTTGTTCTCTGAAGTGGGGAGGTTGTTGAGCAAAGCAGGCTTAAGAGCCCGATGTCCAGACACAGATAGCAAGCCAACCATTGCCTCGACGAATGGATGCATTTCATCATGATAGAACGAGTTGAAGCGAGTGCCCATTGCACAAAGAGCAATGGTATCCAGCGTCAAGCGGGTAAAGTCATCAGTGACCTGGATAGGAGCTGCAGGGCCAACCCGAGCCCATTTCATCACCAGTTGAGTGGCAATATCATACATTTCTGAGTGAAAAGGTTAGCCAGACGGACTGCTTTCCTTGCCTGGTGTATAGGTCTCAAATCCGTTAGAAGAGGGTCACCGACCATCAAACATGCCGCGAATCATCAGCGGACCAAACGCAGGAACAAGAATGCGATGCGCAATAGCCCAGTTCTCTTCACCAGGATAGTGCGCGGTGAAGAGACCGTCGTGAATACCATTGCGGATCTCAGCCAGACCAGCGGAGACCATTTTGCTGAAGCGTTCCTCATCGCAGGCTTCGTCTACTAGCTCGTGTGAGCTAACGAATACTCGTGATCTGCCAAAGGTGGTCAAGCGATAGATTGGGCCTGAAAAGTGATGGCCACAGAAAGAAATTAGCCCAACAATTCATGATTATACCCCTGGTCGCGCGGCCTAGATCCATACCATAGCTATCGGCCATCCGCTCAAAGCTTTGCAAGGGCAACTCGGGCTCGATGTCGTAGACATTTCCCAAGAATGGAACACCCTTGGGGCCCGGAATTGGGACCTGTTCGGTCGAGGTCATGGCGTATGATGTTCGCCTTTCACTTGAGGATTTGGATCAATTTCGATAAATGGGTGAATTTGTGCCCAGGTGATGAATGGACTGGACTACGTAATGGCGGGGTTGAGGAATGTGTACTAGGCACTACCTGGTTGACGTGGTAATGCAGGTCAGCAACTGTACAATATACAAAATGTACCTTTAAGCTGCAGGTAGAAATGAATGGATGAAATAGAATTCTGAAAGAATAGAAGGAAGTCCGGAGGGTTCCAAAGGTTTATAAAAAGAAAATTGTGACTTCATCGACAAGCCTCGGTTTGTTTTAAGCGTACAATATTGTAATCCCAACAGATTTCATACATGAAAACTGCACAAATTTACATAAGTTCATTTATTTCATTTTCATTTGTTTCATCGTCTATCAAATCGGCCATGCCGAGATCTCCTCAGCCACAATTTTTAACTCGACCGCCTGTCGGATTTGACGCGAATCCCGACGATACGGAGTTCTAGAAGGGGACCTCGGCATAACCGAATCCACTTATCCACAACCTTAGAGATTCGCCTCGCAAAATATCCCTATTCGGGAATACCCTAATTAAGGCGGACTATCATCGCGCCGAACTCCGACTGCTCGGTGTCTTGACTGTAAGACTAAGACATCTTATTTGTGCAAGAACTTATGGTGTACGTCCCTCGAGGGTGCGTAGGTTTGTGATATCATCATGCATGAGAACCCCCAGAGGCGCATAAGACGAGTGCGATGCACTATTTGTGTATGGCTGCAATTGTAAGGTGAGCTGTCATCGTGTGAATCCACCAAAGTCGCAAATATTCTCAGTTCGAAACACCGTGGTAACGTGAAATATTGACTGATCGCGTCCTTGACAGTTAGGATACATGTTATGTGGACTGGTCGGATAATTGCACTCAATAAAACAAGGAGTAAAGTAAAGAGGCCCGAAAGAGAAACAATTTTATATGGCAATGTATTTACATGGATGTATTGGGAAGCAGATTGCATCGAAGCAATACGCGGCTGGGACAACGCCAACGAAAGGAATTGTGATCCGAGGATCAAAATGGGGATATCAACAGAACAAGGGAGCAGAGGCAGCACAGATGCCCAAGATTGATGTGGTCAGGGTGGCAATCTGTAAGACCGGGCACGGCGCGAAAGGAAATGAAAGGAAGGGGAATCACAGAACTATTCATTATAGAGGTCCGGAGCAAGTTCGTGGGGTTACTAGTGTCTGTACTTGACAAGCCGGCTAGTTGCTGACCTGCTGGTAACCACCGTTATGCTTCCACTCGCTCTGTCTCCAGTCTTTCTGGAAGTTCTCCATCTCATCACGGTTAAGAGGAACCGGGTTGTTGCCCAAGGCATTCTCGAGACGGCCCTTGCGGCGCTGGCGCAGGCAGAAGAATATGAAGCCTGCGATAGCAATCGCACCGGCGACGGCGGCGCCAATGTAGACTCCAATGTGGGCGCCCTCGCTGAGATCATCCCACTTCTCTGACAGAGACTTGGGCTCTGGCTTGTTCAGTTCGTTCAGTGCGGTCGAGTTTCCACTGTTACGTTCCATTAGTGATATCCCGGGTGATTCTAGTCTGGGCACACTTACTCCGCCACCACGATGCTCTGCCAGGAACCTGAATGATCCCCGTAGCTGTACTCCTTGCCCGAGTGGAAATCCTTAACACGCAGCTTGCCCAGGGTCATAGTGAAAGGGGCGGTATCCCAGTCGACAAGGCCACCAGCCCATTCGATAGTACCATCTTCCGCGCCTTTCCGACCAGCGGGCCAGAGACTGAATTGCACACGAGAGGGGGTCTGTGGGTAGTTCTTGCCAAACAAGGCGGACTCGTCGGAGTACGCGAGTTCGCGAACCATCTCGCCATCAATCCACCATTGGAGTTTATCCTGGTCCCAGTATGTGGTGTAGTTGTGGAACTCGGTGTCTGCGTTCGCCACGTAGTGCTTGCCGCCGCGATCGAAGGTGGTATCGTTACCCTTGCCGAAGAAGTTGGACTGCACTTCACTAGTGTTGTATCCCACCCACTCCCAATCGATCTCGTCCAAATCGTCAGACTCCAAGACCACACTGCTGACTAGGCCTCCGCCCTTGGCCATCTTGACGTGAGCCTCCACAATACCGAAGAAGATATAGAAGTTGGACTGTAAGAGAGTGGACTCTCCCTCCTTGGACAGAGTGAACTTGGCTCCATCATCATCGTACTCGTAGGTTCCGGTGGCCATCTTCCAGATCTTTTCGTCCAAGGTCGTGTTGAAGTTCCATGTGTGTTCGGTGCCCAAGGCGGGATCCGCAGGGCATGACACCTTCGTCGGGTCACAGTCAGTCGAAGTTTGAGCGGTGGCATAGCTAGCCAAAGCTGCCAGAACCGCAAAGCGAGAGAAAAACATGGTGGGCTGATGTATGTAAACGATTGCTCAGGATGCTGCTGTTAGACCGTCCAAAAAAAAAAAAAAAAAAAAAAA